CCGATGCCGTGGCGACCTTCGTCGATGAACTGACGCAGTCGGCGCCCAACGTGCACGTGCTCACCACCAGCCAGGAGCCCTTGCGCGTGCCGGGGGAGCGGGTCATCCGGCTGGGCCCGCTGGAGGTCCCGCCGACCGCCGATGCCCGTGACGCGGCGGACTACGGCGCTGTCCGCATGATGCTGGAGCGCGTCCGCACCGCGATGGGCGGGGACTTCGAGCCGGGCACCCAGGATCTGGCCGAGGTGGTCGAGATCTGCCGCCAGCTCGACGGCGTGCCGCTGGCGCTCGAGTTCGCAGCCGCCCGCGTGCCGGTGCTCGGGCTCGCGGGCGTGCGCAGCCGCTTGTCTGACCGGCTGCGCCTGTTGTCCCGCGGGATGCGCACTGCGCCCAGCCGGCACAGCAGCCTGCAGGCGGCACTGGAATGGAGCCACCAGCTGCTGCCCGCGCCGGCCCAGCAACTGCTTCACCAACTGGCGCTGTTCCCGGCCGGCTTCAGCCTGCAGGCGGCGGAGCTGCTGGTGCGGGATGACAGCGCCGTCGACCTGATCGAGCACCTGGACCTGCTCGTGGAGCGTTCGCTCATCAGCCGCCAGCCCGGCGCCCGGGCGCGCTTTCGCATGCTGGAGACGACCCGGGCCTTCGCGTTGGAGCGGCTGCGCAGCGGCACGGACGGCGTCGACTGGGATTCCCGCCTGGCCCGTGCGATGGCGCAGCTGTGCATGAATGCCGCGCGGGACCGCGACAGTGGCCTGATGTGGCAGGAGATTCCGAACGCCCGGGCGTCGCTTGCCTGGGCCTTGACGGCCCCCGGGCACGAGCAGGTGGCCATCACCATCGCCACGTTCATGTCGGTGGGCCTTGGCGCGGCGGGGGCCACCGGCGAGGCGTTGGAGCACTTGAAATCCGTTCGGCCGCTCGTCAACGAGCATTGCCCGCCCATGCTGGCGGCCCGCTTCTGGCACTGGTACGGGCGGGTCGGCAGCGAGGGGCGCATGCCGGTGTCGCTGTCGGTCGAAGCCATGATGCTGGCCGACGCCCTGTTCGACTCGCTCGGTGAGCGGCGGCATCGGCATGCCTGCCAGCGGCACCTGGCCGAGGTGGAACTGGAGGCCGGCCGTGTCGAGCGCGCCGAACGCCACCTGCAGATCGCCAGCATGCTGGAGGAAACCGGCCTGTCGGAGGCCGACCGGATGCGGCGCCTGCGCGTCGAAAGCCGCGTGGCCGACGCGCGGGGTGAACATGAACTGGCGCTGCGCCACGCGCAGGCCGCCCTCGAGCTGGCCGAGGCCCTGGGCGTGAAGCGCTACCGGCTGCTGCTCAAGGCCGACATGGCCTGGACCCAGCTCCAGATGGGGCAGGCCCAGGCGGCGGTGGAGGTGTCGGTGGAGCTGTTGCAGTACCTGGACGACAGCATCCGCCAGGGCCAGGCGCGGGGGCGCGTGCTGTCGGGCCTCACGGCCGCACTCGTGGCAGCCGGTCAGGTCGACGATGCGGTGCGCAGCGCGGCCGATTCCCTGGTATCGCTGCGGCAGGCGAACCTGCTGCGGGCGCGCTGCGAGGTCTTCGCCTGGGTGGCGGCGGCTGCGGGTCGGGTTCAGGCCGCCGCGCAGCTCGTCGGTGCCGGTGAGGCTTTCGCCGACGAGAGTGAAAACGAGCGGGACCCCATCTCGAGCATGGCCCGCCAGCGGGCGCTGGAGCTGATCGAGCCGCTGCTCGGCGAGGCCGGGGTGTGGTACTGGCAGGCCCAGGGGCGCACCCTGGGCGACGCCGGGCTGGAGCATCTGCTGCGGCAGACCTTCGCGAGTGCGGCACCGGTGAGGTTCAGTTAGCAAGGTTTAGCCTCGTTTGCTGGCCGGACGCGGGCCGGGTGGGCACAGTGCCGGGTAGAGGGGCTGCCGATTCCAAGGCGCCATGCCCCCGCCTCAAGGAGTTGCCATGCAGACCCTGTCGACCGCTTTCACCGTCTCCAGCCCGCCGCCTTTCTACACGCCACCCAACCGGTCGGAGCAGATCCTGCGGGAGCTGCCCCAGGCGCTGTTGGTCGTGCTGCCGGATCGCCGGCTGCTGTTCGCCAACGCCAGCGCCGAGACGCTGCTCGCGAACCGCCAGGCACGGCAGGTGGAGGGGCGGCTCATGGACCTCGGCCAGCTGAGTGCGCCGATGATCGAGGACGTGCTGCGGCAGGCGCGGGACCGTCACGGCGTGCGCACGGGGCTGTGGTTCAAGGGCCTGCAGACGGGATGGGTCAGCGCCTCCCGCGTGCCGTTCAGCATTGCCAGTGGTGCTGACTGGCCGCTGGACAGCGTGCTGCTGCTCGTTCACCTCGACGAGCCGCAGCTCACGCAGTCGGCCCGCATCGAGGCCCTGTGCCAGCACTGCGGGCTCACGCCGGCGGAGCGCTACGTGCTGTTGTTGCTCGCCGATGGCATGGTCGCGCAGGATGTGGCCCGTCACCTGGCGGTGCGGGTCTGCACGGTCCGCACGCACATCCGCAACCTGCTGGGCAAGACCAGCTCGCCGTCGCTCATGCAGCTCGTGCGACAGGTGGGCAGCACGCAACCGTTGGATGCCTGCCGAGCGGCGTCAACCCTGCCGCACGCCCCGGACCCGGCGAGTGCCTCGGACACGACGGCGTTCAATCCCGACCAGCGCTGCGCTGCCTGAGGGGAGCGCATGCACCTTGTGTCTCGGGCAGCCTGCACTTTCATCCTTCTCGCGTCAGCGGCGGGCGCCCCCTGTGCACGGGCAGCGGACGTCCTCACCGTTCGCGCCAAGCCGCCGCAGGCCATCGAGGTCGGCGAGGCCATTCCCATTTCGGTCAGCGTCGGCGCGACGGGGGCGACGGCCGTGAAGGCCGGCGCGGTCGACATGAATGCCAAAGGGCAGGGCCGCTCCATCGCTCCCCAAGGGCTCACACTGTGCATGACGCCGACGCCCTGCGATGGCAGCCCGCTGAGCCTGCCGGCCAACACGACGCACACGCTGTGGCTGCACGGCGCGACGCGGGAGGGCGTGTACGAAGGCACCATCCAGATCGACCATGCGGACGACCCCGTCGGCAACGCCGTGGTGGCCACGACGATCTATGTCAGCTCGGCGCGCGCCAAGTGGCTGGGCGTGGCGCTGATTGCGCTGTCGGTGCTGAGCGCCTTCCTGTTTGCCATCGTGCTGCGCCATGCGGCCAACCGCAAGAGCCTGCTGATGGCGGCGTCGGTGGCGCGAGAGGAACTGCAGGGGCTGAAAGCCCGGCTGTCCAAGCTGACGTCACCCCTGCTGGCGGCCGCCCAGGCGACCGACCAGCAGCTCACGGCACTGCTGGCCGCGGTGGATGAAAAGGCGCTGGAGCATCACGGCCTCCCGAGGACCTGGGCGGCCCCCCTGACGGAGGCGCAACTGTCGGCCTACCGCGCGCATGTCGCGGCTCTGGCCCTCAAGGTCCAGGGCGCCAAGATCGTCATCGAAGAGGGGCTGTTCGAGATCGAAGCGTTGCTGCAGGGGCCCAACGGGCTGCAGTTGGCCGATGTTCGACGGGCCCTGTCGGATGTGCAGGGCGCGGCGCGCTACGCCAACGCCGTGCCGCCGTCCGAGGACGTCGTCCGCATGGCCGTCCAGGCGGCCGTCGGCGGGCTGGTCGCCAGCGCGCGTCATTTGCAGCTCGCACAGTGGACGCCGGTCGGTCACGGCGCCACCGGGGCCCCGCAGATTCAGTTGCGGGTGGAGAACCTCAACCTCGTCATGTGGTCGGCGGTGCTGGTGCTGACCACGGGCATCGGCGCTGCGTTGCTGGTGCTGACCGGGCCGGCCGCCGCCGGCTTCGGTACGCTGGAGGACTTCGTGCGCTGCGTGATCTGGGGCCTGGGCCTGTCGGCGGGTCTGCAGCTGACCAGTGCCGCGTCTTCGTCGGTCACGGCCACCTTCGGCAGCGGCAGCCCCCGGTGAGCTGGATCGAGAGCGCCCCGCAACGTCCTGGCGGCCGCCGGTCAACAACGCGCGTCCGGTGGTGACCGGTCCGCGGGCG